GTTAAACTCATATTAAAGTTTTTCTTCATTACCCATTCAAGCTGTCTCCAACCATTATTAAACTAATCCACTATTGTATTGGACTAGGTGTGTGTGTTACACAGAAAATAATTCACACTGTACTGCGTTACTTTCAGTGTTGCTTATTACACTAAAACTAATCCAGTATTGTATTTCACTAGATGTTTGTATTACACTGAATGTAATTCACACTGTACTGCATTACTTTCATTGTTGTTTATTACACTAAAACTAATCCAGTATTGTACTGCATTAGATGTTTGTATTATGCTGAAAGTAAATTACATTGTCCAATACTAGATGTGTGTGTTACCTGAAAGTAATTCGCATTGTACTGCATTACTTTATATGTTGCTTATTACACTGAAACTAATCCAGCATTGTACTGCACTAGATGGTGTATGCACTGAAAGTAATTCACACTGTACTGCATTACTTTCAGCATTGTTTACTACACTAAAACTAATCCAGCATTGTACTGCACTAGATGGTGTATGACACTGAAAGTAATTCACACTGTACTGCATTACTTTCAGCGTTGTTTACTACACTAAAACTAATCTAGCATTGTACTGCACTAGATGATGTATGACACTGAAAGTAATTCACACTGTACTGCATTACTATCAGCGTTGTTTACTACACTAAAACCAATCCAGTATTGTACTGTACTAGATATTTGTACTACACTGAAAATTATTACACAAACTAATCCACCATTGTACTGCATTAGGTTTGTGTATTACACTGAAAGTAATTCAGATTGTACTGCATTATGTGTGTAGTATAAAAACTAATCCAGCATTGTGCTTCACTACATCAGTATATGTGTGTATTACATAAACTAGTCCAGCATTCTACTGCATTAGATGCAGATTGATGTATTACGTTGAAACTAATCCAGCATTATACTGCACTAGCGTATAGCTCATCAAAAATGACGGGGCAAGTACTACCACCCCACCCATAATATACCCTAACCTCACATTGCATAGCTTATTGAAATAAATTTTGCGAAATCAAGCTTGACCTACAAAGACTGAAAGAGGCAGAAAAGTGCAGTCCAGACAGTCAAACGTCGGTTAATTCCTTTGTAAGCCAATCAAAGTTAAGATAATTCATAAAATGAATTCGTGGAGTATTCATGGGATTGTTATGGGTAAAAATCAGGTAGATTAACAACTTCTAATATATATAGAAAAACCAGTGCGTTTTGGTAACACTACGTTCCAACAATGGCGTTTATGTCATGTTGCTTAGCAGCAAAAGTAGAACCTAATACTGTATTATATAAAATGAAATGTATACACAACAAAACTAGAAAAATATTTCTTAATTTAGAGTGTCTGTTGATTAAACAGGTTTGTTTTTTATTAAATACATTTGTGATGTAACAGAAAATAGCTTAATTCAGAAACGATTTAAGTTTAAAAGTGAATCGACATTTTTACTTTCATGATAAATTTTATACACTTGTTTGTAGGCTAGCTTATCTCAACACTCACTACACATATAAGGTTTCATGGCACCCCCGTTACTAAAATCCTAATGGGCAGACAGTAATCGAACTATTCTATCTGGATAAATGCATTATGATTTTTATGACTCCTCGTATTTCGAGAAATCAAGCGTGACGTGACACACACTAGCTTTCATACAGATTAGATTAGATTTATGTATTACACTAAAACTAATCCAGCATTGTACTGCATTAGATGTGTTTATTACACAAACGAATTCACAATTGTACTACACTAGGTGCATGTATTATACTGTGATTGTGATTCAGCAATTTACTGATTATATGATGATATTGCACTGAAACTAATCCAGCATTTTATTGCACCAGTTGTATGTATTACACAAACTAATCCAGCATTGTACTGCACTAGATGAGTGTATTAAAATAAAATTAATCTATTATTATACAACACTATATATGTGTATTATATTGAAACTAATCTAGCATTGTTTTTCAGTAGGTATGTATATTACACAACTAATCCAGCATTGTACTGCCCTCGATGTGGGTATTACAAAAACTAATCCAACATTATACTGCATTAGATTTATGTATTACACTGAAACCAATCCATCTAAGCATTGGTTTGAATTTTTCTCACTTGCTCCAATCTATTTATCCCCATTTAATTGCCCTTGGCGATATTTATATCGTGACACTCTCCACTTATGTCAATGCGCCCTCTATTCTGGTACTGTACATAAGCACCTCATTCAAATAATATTATCACTTTTTCTCTACAAAGCGTTCACTAATGGGTTTCTCTGTACTATGACTATTGAGGATACTTTGAGTGTTCTTCATGTAACCTAGTTGATTTTCGTGAAAAAAAGAAGCAAAAAAATTTTTTTTTCGTATGGCAAGCAGATATACCGCATGAATTCCTGGATTATTGTTTCTGGCATAGAGGCAAATCAGGTATCTCCTATACTCTGATATATAGCCTTGCTCAACAATAAGGGTGGGTGGGTAGAGTCATTCTCAGTTAAGATTGTCAGTGACCTTATTTGTAGTGAGATGGAGACATATTCGGTCAAGTAGTATTTATCCATGGGGCTCTGAGGCTGTACTTGAAGGCCATCCTGTACATTCTGGAGAGAATTTAGGTTCGCTTTTTCCTGCATCTTCTTTTACTCTGTTGGCTTCTCAGGAGGCCACTTTGGAATCAGCCATCTCCAGCTCCTTTTTTTCAGTTGGTCCATCAAGCATGTGATGTTTTGCTTCTTCCCCCCATTGCTTTTGAGCCTGCACCTTCCTTGATGGCTGAAAGGTCTGAGAGCAAATACTTAGTTCTCCCTCCATTACTGATATGGTCTTACAAGGAGGTTGCTGGTCAGTTACATGAAGGGACAACTATGCCTTG